CACTTGACGTCTACATACACTGTAGTTGGATTGGAACTGTTTGGACTTCGTTATCCCCACGACTGCTACCGGCTACGTGCATCGAAATGAAGTTTACCGTGCTACTTTGTATTACATACAACAATATTGTATATTGTTGTTTTATGTATTTCACAGACAGCCTCTTCAGTCTTCAGTGCACTTTCTCCAAAGATGTCCCAGGGTCCTAGTGGCCTGAGGGGGTCTCAGATAACTTCGTCATGCTAGGGATGAAGTTTGCTGTATCTGGCCACACCCGATTATCTCATACGCGGAAAAACAATAGATAGCTCACTATTAGATCTTTCAGAGACTTCGTAAAGGCCATTTTTATCAGGCCATTGCTGAGATCAATGGAAGTCAACAAAGGTAAAGTTATGACGAGAAAATTCCAAACTTTGATAACTTTTCACAAACCGCCGTATAGTTTGTGAACTAAAAGAGCGGAGTCGTGGAAAAGCGCATTCGATAGCTCTTTCAAATCTTTTTCGTAAACATGTCCTCGGATTTGACCTCAGGTTTTGCGCACAGAAGACAAAAAAGAGACTATAATGCGGATTTTGCCGAAGCAATTTTCCAACAATTTTTACAACTTTGGTATCAATACTTGAATGACATTTATTTTGTCACCATTGTCTTTCTTCCGCCGACACGCATCGAATTAAATATAAGTTGACATGAATAAAAAATTGACCTCAGGTCAAGGTCATGTTGTATATCAGTCGACCCGTATTGATGACCTAAACCATCCTTGGTATTTTATTTTATTTGCTCCACTATGTCTCTATCAAAAGTTGTTGTCAAAGACTGCTGGTGATCTTTAATGATCTAACTAACTGAACCTTTTGAGTGACCTCTGGTCATCAGCTGCACCCTGTCTATTGCATACCTACAGTTTCCCCAAATTGCATTTTGGCTTTGGCTTGGGTGTTTTGGAGGGGGAAATTCCTCTCCAAATAAGATATAAGAGTGGAAAATTGCTGGCCAAATAAGGCCCAAGAAGAGTGAAAAGGTCAATAGCCTACATTTTTATGAATGTGTAATATAATGTATGGTGCATCGTACAAAATGACCATCCACTCGAATGTTTTTTTTCATTAATTTTAGGAGTGGAAAATTTATTTGAAAAGATGAAGGTGAGAGTGAAAAATATTTTCATTTGGATGTCATTTCCTACCCAAATTGACAAATTATGGGACACAGATTGCATAGGGTAGTGTGGGGTAATTTGAACATATTTTTACGTCTTCTCCGTTGTACCAAATTCCAGTTCAACCCTGGATGAAGAAAAACTGTTTCAGTAGCGCAAGTGTCACTTGCTTTCACCATGCAAGCCTCATTTTGGGACGAGCCGAGCATACCTTGAATAGCATAGCCTCACTTCTCCACCAAGTCACGCTGTGTTCAAATTGCCCCACCGTGGGGTAATTTGAACATACTGCCTTTACCTGTCATAAAAAACGATAGTCTCGCCAGCACCGATGTTGTTTGACCCATAAACAAATAGGCAGAACAGTTCTAAACATACCTTCACTTGAAAAATCAACACAACAGCAAAAATAATAGTTGCAGAGTATCAATATCTGCACGCTGCACACCGGTCAGTTGACAGAATTCGCCCCTCTTCAATTAACAGAACGTCTATCATTTTTGTTCGATAAAAACTCTCCCAACCTTACTACATCTGTTAAAGTGGTGCCAATCGAAGCCTGGACATTTGGAGTTCTGATTTTGTCCAATGTCCAATTCGGAATTGGTTGGACAAAGGTAGCAGACTGGAAAACATTGAACGATGACTTGCTACACTTCAGCGCTTTTTATAAAGTAATCGTGCATAGCATTGATTGGCGAATGGAAAGCTTGTTAAGCTCTCAATATAATGAACACTTTTCGGCTGGTAAAATTACATGATAAGCAATATAAATGACGGTTTTGAGTGTTGATAGCTGCATAATATTCGGACATATTTGGACAAATAGTTGACTTTAACATTTTTGGACGGAAAATCAACGAAAATGCCGGACGTTAGAGGGATATTAGACGTAAATTTTCTAAAACTGGCATCACATCTGCTACTGCTTTGGTTCGAAGATATTGGCAAAAAAAAACTGGGAGCGTTGTTTTTTCGGAGGTATCCCTGTCTTCATTGAAATTCTCACACTATGTTCAAATTACCCCACGCTAAAAGTTATTTTGCCATTTTAAAAAACAGGGTTCAAAAGCAAATTTCTTGGATTGAAGGCACTGATTAGGTCATTATACAACAAAAGCCGTTGCGTATTAGGCGCTAGCAATGCAAGATTTTGCGCTGTAATGAAGTTGCAATGACGTGTTGTTAGGCGTTTTTCCTTGCGAAATTGATTTTTTACACTGTGCGTCAACATCTTCATTCCCTGAAACTTTAAACCCCGTTCATATGATAGCCCTTTTAGTTACGATAATTTCTCTCATTGGTCTTATTGTCATGCCACTTATGGATTTTCCGTAATTTTGTGTTATTCACACTATGTTCAAATTGCCCCACATGTTCAAATTACCCCACCCTACCCTATGGGTAGAATGGTCATTCTTCTGTATTTATCTTGCGGTTTTGACGTGTTGACGCGTTTGTTTAAATCAGGAGGCATTTGCAGGTACCTACTTTCCCCATTGTAGGTAATGTAATAGTGAGGTCACTAATCTGACCGATCCCAGGACACGAATTAAAAAAAAATCCGAGATATATTAAGTGCTGGTACTGATACTCGCGTATAATTTCACTGAGGAATATCCTAATTTCATAGGACAGTAGGTTAAGAATAGGAACTGAACCTGGAATGGGTTATTTGGTGAGAAAGACTACGAAGTGCGCGCAGAAGAAGGCAATTTTTATCCGTTATGTTGAGTCCGATCCAAATCCAATGCAGTTTCAGATCATGACAGGTCTTATTTTCTGGAGAATGCGAACATTGACCTGACCGGAAAGGTTGGCCATTGACCAGCTATGGCCTTAACATGGGTTTCGTCTCGTCATGAGGAATGCGTTCATTTTCCCCGCGCAACCATAGCTCGATAAAGGGTCGAACTGCCCGCTCCCGTAGAGAGCTGAACTCGGACGACGATCGCCGTTTGCCTGCTCCCTAACCGCGCTGGTGGGTGGTAATGTGAGCGGTAATGTGGGATTAGTAGCGCGCCCATCTGCCTTACGTACCGCCGGACAGCCGCAGCCCTGTCGCCGGCAGACGCCGCGGAGCCCGCGGAGCTGGATCTGTGGGATGTTGCCGACCAAACCATCCTGGACTGTGACCCGACGTCCGTCCTGGTGGGCCCTCGGTAACGACTAACGGCTACCTCCCCCGGCTGTCTCTGACAGAACCGCCGTCGACGGACACTTCAGAGACACAGGAGGCTGTCCGAAATATGGACAGCGCGCGTCCTGTCCCATCGTTATCCATTATGGAATAGTTCTTTAGGAGCATTTATTCTCTAGAAATGCTACAGTTTTATTTTGATCCATGTTGGGGCAGCTGTAAATCCGGGAGATTTATCTGTCGTGCGCGGTTTGGGACGGATCTATGAGGTTCGTCTGTGGCCGTCTACCCACGGTGACACTGAACGGATCCTGTAGGCAGACTATGTCATCAGCACTGCAGCCATATGTGGCCCACAGTGCTGATGACATATGTCATCAGCAGTCTGAAAAAGCACTGCTGAGTCTTATCAGGCAATCGCCGCTGCAGTACTGTTGAGATCATGCATGTTTTCTTTCGAATTGGTAGGCATGTCGACTCCAGCTTCCTGATAGGCACTGCGCACCGAGGGAATGTTTTTCGTGTGAAGACTTGCATTGCTCACTGTAAGAACACACTTCCACAGACCACTCAGCACAGTTGCCCACAGTTGGCGGTCGGAGACATGGACGTGTCTTTTTATGCTATTTTGCGAGAGGTGCTTTGATTTATGCGTTAGCATTTGCACCAATCGCTCATAAATATTGTTCATTTTGAATTGTATTGGTTTTCAATATATTTTTGATTGATTTGATTTGCTGCTGCACTGTGCGCTGGAATCTGGGCTCCTGCAGGTCGCGTGGTGGAAGACCTCCGAAAACCTTCCAACCTCGCCGCCCGCGCCCGAGTTTTGGCTTTATCCGACCGACACGGTTATTGGCTGGGGACTTGTCACGCACAGTGTGTCGTCTACATAGCGGTTATTAGTCGTCGAACTGGTGCAGTGAACGCAGCATGGGGGACGGATATTGCTCATCGTCATGCGTTCCGTCACTGCTGCCTGCTGACGCGGCACGGCTCGTCCCTGCTGTGCCCCGGGGAACTGCCGCACACCCCTGCAGCCAGTCAGTCGGGGGGGGGGGGGGTCTCCCCTGCCCGGGGCGTGTCAACGCGCGCCCGATTACAAACTGTAGTCTACCTGTCTCGCCTACCTGGTCAAAGAGCTGCCAATTAACGAGAGGTTTACAACACATCGGGGGGGGGGGGGGACAATTTATTTTATGAAATGTGATGAAATGTGGTGTTACAACATGTGGTTTGTCAAGACCTCTCTATCCACTGCCACCACTAAAGTGCCTGCTGTGGTCTGGAAGGAATAGTTTTCAGTACCTACCTACTTTCTCAAGCGGATAACCGCAAAACGAATTAGAACTGTTAGGTCTAATTCGTTACACTGTTCGGATCTGCGCTGAGACGACGTCCCCCCCCCCCCCTTCTGCGTCCGCTGCATCGGACCCTCCCCCCCCCCCCCCCCATCACCGCCCGTGTCACGCTGCCCACCCGGTCCGCCCGCGGCCGTATGTGTGACTGCTGCCCCCTGTCGGACAGATTCCGCACCCCGCACAGTGACCTGCCGGCTGTATGTGTGTGTGTGTGTGACCTGCCGTATGTGTGACCCGCCGGCCGTATGTGTGACCCCCTGCCCCCTTCAGACGGATCCCGCAACACCCACCGTGACCCGCCATATGTGTGACTCCTGCCTCTTTCGGACAGATTCCGCACCACAAGGACCTGCCGGCCGCCTCCGGCGAGCTGATTGCCCGGCTCTACAGCGAGGTGAAGTCGATGAAGAGCAAGCAGGACTCGCTGGACAGCCACCTGAGCAAGATGAAGCGCGAGAACGAGTCGCTCTGGCGCGAGGTGCTGGTGCTGAGACAGAAGCACGCCAAACAACAGCAGATCGTCAACAAGGTCCGTACCCTGTACTCTGTACTCTGTACCCTGCACCCTGTACCCTGTGTCCTCTACCCTACACTATACCTTCCGGTACCGGCTGTACTCGCCCTGACCGCTGCTATTGCTTAGTTAGTGTATGTACGAGTACCTACGAATTAACTGGAAATTTTCCTATTGTCATTGTTAATTTTATCGGTAAACTGAATTCCATAAAGTCGTGACATTCTATGTAGATCTCCTTTGAGCGTTGCAAATTGTAAATTTGTACGGCGCATCAGCACGACATATTTTATGGCCCTCAGTTGGTCCACCGTGTCAGCAAAAGGTGGAGCTGGAGGTGATGTTTTATTCTTTGTGTGCTCTCTAGTAGAGTATCGTTATTACGGGCTAGGGTAGCTGGGTGCGTTTGGTTATTCCATGGGTTCAGTAGCGAGCAAAATACCGTGCTGTAACGCTGCTGGTAGGGCTGCGAACCCACTCGTTGGGAAAAAGATTATCTTTTTTAACGTGGGATAGCTAAATTGATTAATCATTTGTACGAATCTCTACAAGTAGAAAACTTTAAGAAAAATTAAATCAACATTGTCAAAATTAACCCGCGCCCCGCTGGGGGGGGGGGGCAGAATCTGCCCCCCCCCCTCCCGTTTTTCGCCAATAACTTCTAAACGCGTTACGCCAGCGACGTCAAACTTTCAGTACCTTATCATACATCAATTTGACACGTTCCCTGAAAATTTGAGCGAAATCCGTCGGAAAATTTTTGAGAAATTGACGTTTTAGTGACGTCATGTTCGCCATTTTCGCCTCAAAAACGGCAAAATTTCAAACGCCGCTAACATCTTCATTTTTAAAGGAATCAATACGTAACAAAAAAGGTTATACGTGATTCTACTTTGTCTCTCAAATGGCTATCTCGGTTTTTTGAAAAGTTTTGATTTTGGCCAAAATTTTTCCAAAAAACTGACTTTTTTGGGAAAATATTTATAAAATCCAAAATTTTGAGTTTATCGAAAAAACCGGAATATATGTCAAAGAAGTGGTCTATGTGCACCTACATACCAATTTTTAGAAGAATCGGTTCAAAAATGTGGGAGTTATTCAAAATTTTATGACGTCACGACACACAAATTTTTTGAAAAATGATTTTTTTGGAAGTTCTAGACCTCGTACGGAAACAAAAATAGCACCATTCGATTCGCCGTGAAAAACTGCATCGGATAGATACCTTTTTAGGCCTTAACAACCAACTTCAAAATTTGACCTCACTTGACCTGACCTTGACCTGACCTCGACCTGAAACTCATCCAGAGGTGGTCCATATCACTTATTGAGTGTGCCTATTGAATTCCATGAGTAAAATGACCCATAAAACATGTGTCGCACATGCCCTTTTCTATATTTTGTTTTTGGTGACCTGACCTGACCTAACCTGACCTTGACCTTGACCTTTGAATGACATTGTGTGCAACGAATATTGTCTTGGTAGTCTAAGAACACGTTTTGGGCAATCAGTCTCAGTCCATTCTTCGGCAACTACGGTGCAAGGCCGATACTGTAGAAACTTGCATTTTGTACCCTTGACCTGACCTTGACCTGACCTCTGACCTACTTAAGCAAAAAAATTTGGGCTCTTAAGATCCGCCTTGTTGAGAGCTTTCGATTGCCGTTTTCCCCGTCTTTCTACGACCATCGGTTCGGAAGTTAGACAGGGGGGGCAGAATCTGCCCCCCCCCCCCAGCAGGGCGCGTATGGCTGAATAGCCCAGCGGGGCGCGGGTTAAATGATCCCACGCCTTCGTGACAAAAAAAAAATCCACCAGCTTTTCACAGGGCAGTTTTTAGAGGTTAGAGTGATGCTCCTCTCAATTACCGTTGTATGACATTTCATATTGAAGTTATTGGGTACCATCTATGGCAATGCAACTTCAATACAATTTTTTTAGCGTGAAAATTAAACGTCTTCTTGATGCATTGCTATGACTATTTGCGAAAGATCGCCTTAATTTCCGTTAATCCGTTAGACATCCGTTAATTTCTATTCCTTGTTGGCAACTGTTGTAAATAATTTGACGTTGCATAACATCTGGTAGCTGGTATTATACCGATGTGCATTTGATTACTATGGACGTCAAACCCCTTGAGACCCCACTTTTTTGCGATAATTTTTAAATGCGTCAACTCTCGTTGACAATATTCTGGCAATGTGTGTTTCAGAACCTGCCGAAACTTTTATTACTAAGGTATTTTGACGCCAAACGATTATTAAAGGTACTTCTCATTCACTCGTAATGTTAAATTTCACGGAACGAATCTGCTGTTTGGGTAGAGGCTTCGCGCTCATGGGGCGGAGCCACGTAATGACGTCAGCGCTAAGCTCCGCCCTACCCCTCCGGCGCTCCTTGCCCGGCGACCGGTCACTCGCGTCTCTCGCTCCATTCAGGCTTGATGGTGGGTGGTAGCTGGTAGCGGTAGTGGGCGCTGGTAGATGGCATTTAGAGCAGATGGCGCTGGTGGCGGGGCTCGAGTGTGGCCGAGTGCAAGCCTCTGCCCGGGCCTGAATTGACCTTAACATTACGAGTGAATGAGAAGTACCTTCCATAATCGTTTGGCGTCAAAATACCTTAGTAATAAAAGTTTCGGCAGGTTCTGAAACATACATTGCCAGAATATTGTCAACGAAAGTTGACGCATTTAAAAATTATCGCAAAAAAGTGGGGTCTCAAGGGGTTTGACGTTCATAGTAGTGACCGACCGCCGCGGGTTGGCGCGCCTTTATATAAGACCAGACGATATCCGTTGATCCCTTTGAGTTGGTCTCTCTAATGGTTACGGGCGATTCTGTGTTTTTTCGCTCGGCCAGTGGCCGGAGGCGGTGCTCTGAGGCGGTGATTGGTCCCGCGGCGCGGCGGCTCGGGTGTCATTCGATAGCTCGGCACCTGCAGGTGACCGCGAGTCTCCGTGACCACGGGGTCGGCCGGTCGCGGCGGGTCCGCGCTCGGCGGCGGAATATGCTCGTACTGCCAGCCACTGTCAGCGACCTGCAGAGCGGTGCTCAGTGACGAGCACAGCGGGAACCCTTGCAGCGGATAGGGCCGAGGGATGAGTCACGGGCTGAGGAGGGAAACGTGCGGGAACGCCCCGCGACAACGCGCCATGCTTTGATAACAGTTTAGCGATTAGCCATCGGGGAAACACTGTCCGACTGAAAATAGCGCCGAACGGGTCCCTCTGATTCTTGGCGGTACCTGATCTGGGTGCTGAACATGCTGATGTTGTGGAGGTTGGTAACTGTATGTATATATGTATGTATGTATGTATGTCTCTTGAAAGTTTCGCGACTCTGATTTTTTTTTTTTTTTTTTTTTTTTTTGGTTAGGCCCTTTCGGTCTGGCAAGACCATTTCAGAGCCGGGAGGATGATAGGATAAAGGGGGAGACATTGGTCTGGGCAGGCACCCTAGTGAGTCGCCGGGGCTGAGCCCGTCCAGAGGACAGGCCACCCAGCCCCAAGGCACTCACTACACCCGGCTACGGGTTGCGCTCCCTCGGGAGCAGCCCGCATGAGATAAAGTTGCCTGTCCAGCCCGGAGGGGGGTTGCGGCGTGGAGGAGAAGGATTTCTGTATCCTGAGGATAGAAGCACGGAACGGTGATGCGACTCTGAGGAAAGGGCGCCGCCTGTCCCAGCCGCGGTTGAGCGGAAAAGTTTGAGAGCCGCTGGTAGCACTGACCGAAGCCTGACACGCGGTGGCAGCCAGCGCGGCGGGGCGAGGGGAGTGGTTGCGGACGGCTGGGGGAGGCGGTCAACGTACGGTAACTTGTGATGGCAGTAAGCACGTGGTCAACGGAAGCTACTCTACTCGCAGAGAGGATTTGTTGACATTTATTTGATTACAAAGCTGAAATTTTGACCCGTCACCGGCACAACTACCATAGCTTTTTGGTACAATCCAGAAACCCTTGCACGAATACAGAAAAAAAACATCAGTTTTACCCGCTAACAGAATGCATCCGTGGTTGCAGGTGCTTCCGCGAGTGGATTCCAATCACAAAAAATATCTCCTCTCTAGCCACTTCATCCTTTATTTGAACCTTCTCTCTTTCTAATGAGCCGGTCAGTGAACGGCGATAAAAAAAAAGAATTTTCCCTTCAGCCGTCTTTTTTAAGCCTTATTTATGCCAGGCTGTCCCCTTCCCTCAAATGGTCTGTTACGTCGTTCAGAAGGCCTCTTCAGAGTATGGTTATGGCGGAACTTTGCTTCTTTGTGATTTTACGCGTCACGCACATTGAGTTAACATTGATTGGCGCCCACTAAGGTAGACCAATGAGCGCCCGGCTGGTGAACCCAAGCGGTGCCGGTATCCGCCTGGGGCGGGGGACGGGGTCAAGGGAGAGCGATACGAGCATGACCTCTGGCCGGCCTCCACCTGTTTTGACCCAATTGTCAGCCGCTGGTGCCTGCGTCGCATAGCAGTTTTCCTTCTACCGCTGGCGTAGGATCGTATTACAGCGTACTTTTTATGGTACAGTCGTGTACAGGTTGATGGTCCCCTACTCTTTATCCACCGGGTTCCTATGGCTCAGCATTGGCAGCAGCCGCCTGGTACAGGGACCCGCAGTTGCTTCTGTACACACTAGTATTTCAGCGTATTCTTTGCCTGTGACACCGTTGGAGGCGAATTGGGAAATGATTGTGTGCTTATTAAAACCACCATCTGAAGGGCTTTAAACTGATGTGCTGCTCTCCTAATTCAGTGAACTTTTTATGGCTATATCAGCAAACACTGTTTTCAGCGCTTTTTCCTGCCCCATTCCTTCTGAAACCTGGAACCGCTTATTCCATTTACTCCTGCCTTCTGACGATGGTCGTGCTGACTACTAGTTCCGGCGCTAGTTACTGCTCCAGTTTTGCACCCGGCACAAACTCAGGCGGCACCAGGCCGTGGCTCGACCATGGGGAGGGTCGGACCGAGCCAACTGCCTGGGGCGCGGTTAGATCGGACGCCCTGCTGGGGAA